CCATGCAGACAGAGAAGCAGCAACAGGATTGTTTGCTAGAGGTCTATTGTGGCAGGGACAAAATGGCCCGTTCTAGTGGGATGTTAAAAAGGGTACTACTACCGACACACATTTTGGCTACTTGCTAGAAATCAATAATTTCTTTTCAAGGGGATACATATCACTACTTTAAGTGTCATAGTGTGTGGGGAGCAGGAGTGCAGCTCTGGGGAACATGGGCAAGCCCCCCCCCCCCACAATAACTTTCCCCTCTTAATGAATTTTTCCTTGAACCTCAAATTGCTAGCATTAGGCAAAGTAAAACTTGAGTACTGCATTTAGAAATATTTAAATATGAAAAGAGTATGGGTAGGCAAAGAAACCCAGGAAAATTATGCAAACATAGCAAATATAAATGTAGATGCTATCCATTTCAGTGCCTCCCTCATTCCAATGCTAGAAATGTGATGGCCAAATTTTTTTTTCATTTTGGTCGTAAAACACTGGAGGGAAAAGCCCTCAGTTCTCACTCAATCATTACATTGCTGTCCAGGGCTATATGAGGAACTCCTGATCCATCAAGTCTCAGAACGTGAGAAGAGCTGTTGGCCAGTGTCCCATTGCCCAGTTGCAACTGTTGGATATTGTGCTGGTTCAGTGAGAAGTAAGAAGGGAAGATGCAGTGGATGCTCTTGCTAAGCAGGAGATGTGATGTCTGGAGTGCAGGAAGAGCTGTGGGAAGAAGCTTGCCTTTCCCAACATCAGACATGTAAATACTTGGACTGACAGCAGACCTTTGTGTGCACATCCTTTGTGTGCATATTCAGGGGAATAGAGCAATTCCCACGAAAGAGCACAGGGCATCCTCCCTACCACACAAAATATGATTTCTCAATATAAAAACAAAATGCTGCTATGCCAGGAAGAAAAGTTGCATTTATTTAATTACACTATGTAACATAATTTTTGTTCCTGGGTTATAAATGTTATTTCCTAATTGGTTCTATGCTAAAAACATGGGGAAAGGTTTATTAAACTGCAAATACTTTGTTTTTGCAGGATATTCTGCAGCACATTTTGCTATCTTTAGTTTTTCAATAAAAATCTGATAAGCGTCTCAACCAGGTTGTTCTAGGTTTTTTGGCCTGTATGGCCATGTTCTAGAAGCATTCTGTCCTGACATTTCACCTGCATCTATGACAGACATCTTCAGCGGTTGTGAGGTGTCACAACCGCTGAGGATGTCTGTCATAGATGCAGGTGAAACGTCAGGACAGAATGCTTCTAGAACATGGACATACAGCCTAAAAAACCTATAGCAATCCAGTGATTCCGGCCATGAAAGCCTTTGAAAATACGCAGTCTCAACCATTTCAACATAGTTTGTGGCAGCCACAAAAACGAAGATTTTGGAGTATAGCAACTACTTTCAAAGTTAATACCGCACAATTAAACAGGAAAACAGGAAATAACACTTTCAAATGAGAAACAGAAACATTTTCAAAACTTGTTACAAAGTGTTATCAGAAACTTCTGAAAAATCCTGGCAATCTTCAGAAAAGAAAGTTAAGTCCAGCACTGGAAAAGGGTTTGGACAGCTGTAAAAAGTAAACAAATAAAAGAAGACAAAATTTATCTATCATGGGCATTTTTTGTGACAATTTAGTGTGGGCTCTCCAAGTTTATTGCACTATCTTTCAGAACACAACTCCTGGACAGAAAGGCAAACTGCGAGCAAGGTCAGTTGGGTGGCTTTCATGCTCAGATCCTAAATTTGCAAAGGCCAACAACGGTTTGGCTATTTGAGGAACAGGGTGGTAAGCTATTGAGTGTGCATGTGAAGCACGTGGAAAAATACACATATTAAAATAACACGATATAATGTATTATATTACTTGACTTCACAACAAGCCACTGGTTATAGTCTCTCAATTGTATCTCCTTCAAAAAGGCTAAGAACCCTAAAGTTGCCAGGCCCTCTCTGATCTTGAAAGTTAAGCATGGTCAGTCCTGGTTAATACTTGGATGAGAAAACAAGATGCCATAGGCTATATTTCACAGGAAGGAACTGACAAAATCGCATTTGACCATTCCTCAGAAAACCCTATAAAATTCAGTGTTGCTTTAAGTTGACAGGCCATTTGAAGGCACTAACACACACAAAGGTTTCTACGTCCCACCTCATAATCTAAGATCATCTGGGGAGGCCCTGCTCTCGCTCCCATCAACAGCACAGATGCGCCTGGCGGGGACGAGAGACAGGGCCTTCTCGGCGGTGGCCCTCTGCCTATGGAACACACTCCCAAATGAGGTAAGATCCGCTCCCTCCCTCCTGGCTTTTAGGAAAAAATTAAAATCATGGTTTTGGGACCAGGCCTTCGGGTACTAGAAGTAAATGAATTCAGCATTTCGGACTGGACTATGACTGGAACGGTGATTTGACGGATGAGACTGTTTTGCTGTTTTAATTATTGTTTTATACCTTATGGATGTATTGTTTTAAATTTGATTTATGTTTAATTGTAGTGTATAATTTTAATTGTTTGTACTGGCATTGAATTTTTGCCATTACTTGCGTGTTAACCGCTTTGAGCCCCTCTAGGGGTGAGAAAAGCAGTATACAAATACTGTAAATAATAATAACAATAATACTGTCAGGGAATAATTGCTTGGTCATTATTTTAAGCATGCCTAGTCTTAAGAGGTATCACATTGCCAGACACAAAGTCAGGCCAAACAGGAAATGGCACGATTTGCCTAGAAAGAAGAGCATGCATCTATTTCTCTAGTGCCAATTAATTCCCTCATCTCTGTTTTTAAAAAACAGAGAAATTGAATATGGCAAAATAAAATATGGGTAAAATGGATTAGGCTGGCCTTTGTTATATAGTCTGTGATGATTCAATCCATCTGCCACATAGTCTGTGCTAAAATCAGCAACATCTGATGTGTCTGCTCTGCTGTGGTTTCAATCAAGCCTCAAGACTGGTGAAGGCAGCAAAATTGTTCAAAAGCACAGTTTCTGCTTGCTTAGACTGCCTCTCTGCATAATTAGCAATTGCACACAGACCCTTAATTATTCAACCAACTTACTCAGCTAAAAGACAATGCCCTGTGCACACAGTGATTAACATTTTCAAAGAAGTTATCAGTGTAGCAATCCACCAAGCTTACACAGTTTAAACAACATCCTTCCAGTAAAGAGCAAAATCCAAACACACAAATAAACCACAAGAAGCAATTTTAAAAACACAAAACACAAAGGTAGTTTCAGAATGCTACAAATCTCAACATACAGTAGTAAGCCACTAAACTTTTTTTAAAAATTGGAAAAAAAATAACCAAAGAATGTTGTTTTACTAGCAACGTATTCCCTTAACACTAAATCAACAATGAGTCATGTGTGTGGAAACAGCTATTTGATTCAGGACAGGACAAAGTTTCAATACAGAAAAACTTAACCATTCCCGGAGAAAGTACTCAGCTATCAGCAAGCATGATATAATAATCCCTGTGCTGGACATCCACCAAATTATGAGAACAGCAAGGCAAAGCGGAGGCAAACAGTCCAGTGAAATGAGCTAATAAGTAGAAGTATTTTGCCCCAAGGGAACACAGCTTTGAAGCTCCCCTTCAAGCCACTGGAGACAAATGACGATGGACTTCATACCAAGGAAGTAACTTTTGAGAGACAGCCTTCCACAGTCACTTAAAATTCAGGTCTGCTTTAAAGTCTTTTCCAGATCTTATGTATTATTATTGTTCTGTTTTTACTGCTGAATTGTGGGATTCTGAACATTGCTGCACATTTTAAAAACAAAGCATCTTGCATTTTAAATAATTTTTTAAAAACCATTTGTAGCTCCATAATGTAATCTTCAACTCAATAAGAATAATATAAAGTACTAGCCCCCATAGAAAAAGATGTTCAATATATGAGATATGATTAAATATACTCGACATTGGCCTCACAGCTGATTTTGTGTACGTTTCATCAGATGTCCTACCTCTTTTAATGAATGGCCCCAGGTTTACAACCATGTAAAGCTATGCAAAACTATGAAAACCCACATTTTTCTTTTCATTGTGTTCAAACAGGGTTTAAGGTTGGTAAAGGTTGTCCCCTGACATTAAGTCCAGTCATATCTGACTCTGTGGTGCTCATCTCCATTTCTAAGCCGAAGAGCCAGCATTGTCCATAGACACCTCCAAGGTCATGTGGCCAGCATGACTGCATGGAGCGCTGTTACCTTCCTGCTGGAGTGATACCTATTGATCTACTTGTATTTGTATGTTTTCAAACAGTTCAAACAGGGTTTACTTTCAAGTAATTGGGTAAAGATTGCAGCTCTAGAACGTTAAGCGTTCTAGGATTTTTCTTCTTTCCAAAGAGGCTTGAGAATACAGAAATGCTGGACCATTCTAACAACCACCATGCCAGGCTACACAGAGAAACCATTGAAATCCGCAAGCATGTGGACAATTTCTACAGAAAGGAGGAAACGATGATAATGAAATCTGGCTACCAATATTTAAAAAACTCTAAAATCAGGACAGTAAATAAAGAACAACACTAAAAAAAAAGGGGGGGGGGGTATTGCAGACAAGAAACAACCAGGGCCAGCTAATTGTCTCCCAAGAAAGGATTCCCCCAGGCAAGAAGCAGCCAAACTTTGAAGCTACAAAGCTATTCGATGCTAATTAAGGTGGCCAACTGCAACATTCACACTTGCCTCAAACAGACAAGAGTTCTTTCTCCCACTTTGGACATTCCACAGTTATATAAACTCCACTTGCCTAGTCTCCAACAAACCTCACAACCTTTGAGAATGCCTTTCACAGTTGTGGGTGAAACATCAGGGGAGAATGCTTCTGGAACATGGCCAAACAGCACAGAAAACTCATAGCAACCCAATTGTTAATTCAGCTATTGCCAAAAGATCTAGACTTTTCAAGCCAGTAATGACAAGAATGGCCTGTTTTCACTTTTGACAGGTGCCCCAAGCCGCATGCTTGCTTACCTATTTGGTCTTCCGGAATCAGGGATTCAATGGGAGGATCTAATTCAGAGCTCTGAGACAAGTAACTCTTCACTTGGGTCATGAACTGCCGGATAGTCTGAAGCATGTCTGTGCTGGAAACGTGGCACTCCTTGTTCTCCAGCAAGAAACTCACATAGTCCTGAACCAGGCAACCGAAGTAGGTGCGCTTGTCTCGAGACATTTCGGCTATTTTCTTGACCATCCTCTTCTCTGGGGTCATGAAGGAGCTAAAAACCCCACTCACTTTCCGCAGCTGGGACTTAACAATTTTTGGGATCACAAAGGAGCTGGTCCTTTTCTTCTTGGGCTTCAAGGGTGGTGCCATGCTCTCCTGATCACTTTCCCCCTCGTATTCTTCCAGGCTGCTGTTCGTGTCCCCATCGTACGGGAAGAGCGGCATGCTCCTGTCAAAATCCAGAGAGTCAGAGGAGGATGTGGACAAGCTCATATCGCTTAGTCTCTGCCTGCCTCCATTCCACTGCACTTGTGACTCAGAGTGTGCAGCTAAGCTCTTTTTGCTCTCTGCTAAGTTTTGCTGAGGCGGGGCTCCACCTGGAATGCTTGCTGCTTCTGAGCCATGCACTAAGTTACAGCTCAGCCCAGCTACAGCCGAGTTCTTTGCGTTGCTCTCTGCCTCTAGAGAGAGTGCCTTCTTCTTCAGGCGAGGCGGTGGGATAGGAATTGGCCTCTTCTGCAGCACATCCAAGTTCCCTTGTCTGATGCTGTCAACAGTATCTGGCAGACTGGGCTGGTTTACAGTCCTGGACAGCTGAGGACTTGCAAGGAGGCTATGAATAGAAGGTGGGGGAGGCCTGGGTGGGGGAGAACGAGGCCTCTCTGGGCCATTCACGTCTTGAGTTCTTGGGCACTGCCTTTTCAAACTTCCACCGACATCCTGGCTATGCACTTTCAAGAAGAGCGGATTAATAAAACACAAGGCTCCGTTGGTCTGGCTGCACTCCAGCTCTGAAGGCGTTCTGGTTCTTATAGAATGAACTCCATTTATGAGGCAGAGTTGCTGGGAACCTTTAGAAATGCTTTCTGAAGGGAGAGGCTTCTGGAGGGGTGAAGGATTTTGCAGTCTCTTGTTAGCCGGAGAGTTCCAAAAATCTGAAAGTAATTATTCAGTTAGTGTAAGAATGCAAATATTATGCAGCGAGTGCTCAAAATACTCTACTCAACAACATTTGCTCTCAGACAAAGAGTTCTTTAACTTTCTTCCCAGGGCCAACTAAGACAGTTTGTTGGAAAATCCTAGTGGCATTCCCCTCCATCAGGATCCGTAACAGATTACCCCATAGCTTTCTTTTCCCAAAGTTAAAAGCAGCTACTTGAGGTCAAGCAGTACAGGGTGGGGATGAACCATTTTGCTTCCATGCTATTCCCTTCATTTGGTTTACCTCTTCCCCAAATGTTTTCCCCCCTCACTCATGGGAGATTGGGTTAAACCCCCAGTGGGTTAAATCCCTGTGCCAACAGGACTGAAGACCGACAGGTCGCAGGTTCGAATCTGGGGAGAGCGTGGATGAGCTCCCTCTATCAGCTCCAGCTCCTCATGCGGGGACACGAGAGAAGCCCCCCACAAGGATGATAAAACATCAAAACATCCGGGCATCGCCTGGGCAACATCCTTGCAGATAGCCAATTCTCTCACACCAGAAGCAACTTGCAGTTTCTCAAGTCGCTCCTGACATGACCAAAAAAAAAAGGGGGGGGGGGAGATTGTACATATAGATATTCAGTATGGCGCTTTTATGTTTTCTCCTATGGGGAAGGAAAATGATTACACATAGGAGAATTTAAATCACAAAAATGTCATAGAGAAGGAAAAATTATTTAACCACATTCTTTAACCTCCAATCTGATCCTTTCTGTCAACCTCCCCTTCCACCTTTAAAACAAAGCCCCGGGAGATCAGACGTATGGATTTTAAAATGTCTCCAGGGCTCCAACAAAACCATGGTTTACTAGACAAGTCATCTGGTATTTATCTAAAGGTTCATTAGGCTCTAGGGAGTACTGAAACCCCTGAAAATCTCCCTTTGAATATTCTGGAGACAACTGAAGGGGAAAAATAATTACAACTTTTTACCAATAAACTCCTTAACCCAGCCAAACCATATCCTTAAAGCACATTGCAAAAGGCACACTTGTGACTGAACCAAAATATATGGAAAAGCTTTAGTAGTGTGGATGAATGAATCCATATGTGCTGGCAAAATGAATAACAGGCATTTCTAGTACTGTAAATCACTCGTGTGTAGCTCCATCTAAAATCTTGGAAGCAACGTGATTTACATCATAGCTATAAATGTGATCCTGTTTAATTGTTCGGAAAATTTATTTTCTTTTTGGAAGAAAACAATTGGTTTAGTGAGAAAGAATAGCTCAGCAGCAGAACATATACTTTACACAAAGAAGCTTTCCGGCTGAATTTTGGCCTTGGAAAACTTTACTTGAGAATCAGAAGAGATGCTGCCAGTCAGAGCAAACAATGATGAGCTCAACCAGTGGTCTGATTCTGTGTAAGCCCAGTTGACATTTTCAAAATGAATCCTATACTCTAGTCTGTGGCATCCAGAAATGGCTTCACTTATCAGAGAGCATAATTCTTGTGGCACACATTTTTTTAAAAAACCATATAGTCCACCACAATATTTCCTGCTGTGGCTAACCAGATACCTCTCAAAAACTTCAAAGCATATCATGAAACATTTCCTGTGGCTTCCTTGCAAATGGTACATGGGGGCAAAGCCTTCAAATAGTATCAGACCCGTAGCCAGGATTTTGATTTGGGGGGAGCTGAGTTTGATTCGGGGGGGGGGGGGCTGAGGATCTACCCTAGCAAACCTTTTGTATTGTTATCCGAATACCCCTATGCATATGGGATATATTGAGCCTGGTGATCAGATCATGATATGAATAAACATAACAGTTCAAATAATGTACCAGTAAGGCCTTCTCGCGGACCACTCTGAGAATGGGGGGGGGGGGGGCTGAAGCCCTCAAGCCCTCCCCCCTCCAGGTACACGCCTGAAGAGGATAATTCAATTCAGTCACTAATATAGCTCTTCTCTACGAATTTTGTCTTCCCATTGCTTTAAGATGTCAGCTCAGCAAAAAGTTGCCAAGGAAGTCCAAGAGATCAGCCAATTATGCCCTAGTTTCTGCTAGTTAAAAATGTGAGGGCTTCAACCCAACAAACCCTGGCACCACTCCACCTCCACTTCTAATTGAGTTGTGTATCTTCAAGTTTGAATGTGTTGAAAGAGAGGCATGTGTCGAAAGAGATAATATGTATCCATGTTATCTATACCATGTATTATTTACAAGCTTTTATCATGGCTTTTTAAATATTGCATATACAAGTTCTTATGTAATTGGAATGCACACACTACACTTGATACATATATTTGCATACATACCATGAAATATACTCAAATGGTATGACCAATATTCCACAGCATATATAATCTCCAGCATACCATATAGATCATTTGACTGCACACTGCCTGTACACGTGCATTGACACCCACTCACATCTAAGTGTCTGAACCATTTACAACTAAATTGTTTTTGGTGGATGAGTGGTGAATAACAAGATCATAATCCTACCTGTGTAGCACAATATATCTTTTTTTAAAATGCAGATTTTAATTTTTAAGTTGTACTAAGCATTTGTTCTTACTGATTGAGCTAATGAGAGAGATACAATATATATAAACACAAGAACTGCTTTAAAGCAGGGGCAAAAGGGGCAAACTCCTTCATGTACTAGACAAGAAAGACCATCTCTATTCCTTCTAGAGTGATCTAGAAAAAATACCAGATATTTCTACATGGATCTAGAACAGAATATCGGAATTCTGCAGAATGCTTGTTTTAAAATCTTCATTCAACCCAGAGTACACTCTGCTAACTAAGCTTAACAAGACAGAAATGCGAACAGTTGACAGCACTGTTTCATTATCTGGGTGGAGGCCACTAAAGGGCGCTAGAGAGAAAAGCATAGTCCATTTTATGGGGAGGGGGAATTGAAGGAGGAAAACTATTTCCTCCATTTTTTTCTGGTTATGCCCCCTCCCCGCTTCCCATATCGTAAAGGAGCGAAAGGAGGGTTGTTTCAATGATGGGGACATGGGTGGGTGGAATAACAGAAAAATGGTGGAAATTGTTTTCCTCCTTCAACCCACCCTCCACCCCATACAATAGACTATCCTCCTCTTTCTAGCGACAACTAGTGGCCTTCGTCCAGATAATGGAACAATACCCAGTGTACTATTTTCAAATACATCAGCAAGCTTATTGTTGGGTAATTTCAAAAAGTAAAAAAGCATTTAAAATATAAATAAAAAACAATAGCAGCAGTAGTTTTAGCAGATCAGAAGTTTCTTGAGCTTAGCAATACTCGAGCTGACAAAGTCATCACACATTTATTATATATAGCTGCATTTACAACATAAGGGATGTTTAAAAATTTGCATCCTAAGTCAATGTGATAAACCCAAACGTTAAATTTGATCTGTAACAAGTTTAAATCTCGAAACTATATGTATAGTGTTCCTTCACTGTTTCACAGTTCACTTCACGCAGACTTCACGCATGTTTCATGGGTTTTTTTAAAAAAGAATTTAATATACAAGTAGCAAGGGAACACTGTATACCCATTATCAAAGTGTGTTGTTTCTCCAGAAAAAATGCTGCCACAGACTTGAGTTGCACAGTTACTCACAGACAGGCATGTGTGTGGCTGGCAAAGAGCCCGGAGAGGGCCATCAAGGCAGCTACTGCAGGGGCCTTTTCCTCGGAAGTCGGAAGCATCACCCTGACTGACAGAGGTGTGGGCTGCAAGGGAGGTGTGTGTGAGGCTGGCAAAGAGCCCGGAGAGGGCCGGCAAGGCAGCTTCCGCCAGGGCGTCTTCCTCGAGTGACCGGGTGAGAGACCCATGCCATTGGGAAAGCAGGGCGGGAGGGAGAAGGGTGGCTCCAGCAAGAGGAAGGGGAGGGAGGGAGGAAGGTAGGGGAAAAGAGGGAGAGAGAGAGGAGGGGGAGAGAGGAGTGGGCGGAGCTATACTGTACATATACAGTATAGAGTCCCTACATCACGGTTTTTCACTTATCGTGAATGTAACCCCCTCAACAAGTGAGGGAACACTATAAAAAATCACTACTTGCTGTGTGATATCAAGTAAGTTGCAGTCTGACTGACCTAATGAGATTGCTTTGTGAAGCAAAACGAAATATACCCTGCTGAAGCAGAGTGCATTGGCAGAGGATGAAGGGATGAGGCAAGGGAAGCTAAATGTGTTATACCTCTATTACCTTTGCATTGCCTTGTAATCCTGAGCTCGAGCCACTGACAGGAAAAAGTGTTGTGGCTTCCTGCTGCACTTAGAACATGGGTCAGCAATTGAGTGACCCAGAGCAAAAACCAGGCATTTAAAGCAATAACTGGGAGGTTCATGGGCTGCACATGGCCTGCCATAGCCATCAGTGCAGTCCCCAGGTCCTCCCAGGTTTCTCCAATCAATCCCCCACATTCTACAGTGCAGCAACTCGCCATTTAAATGCTATTCCTTCTTGCACTGGCCTTTCAAATGTGTTTTTTGGGAGAAAGGGGATGTGCTGCAGATGATCAATTGCTCTCACTTTAGCTTAGAGCAGGGGCCCTCAAACTAAGGCCCGGGGGCCAGATATGGCCCCCCAAGGTCATTTACCTGGCCCTCGCTCAGGGTCAACCTAAGTCTGAAACTACTTAAAAGCACACAACAACAACAATCCTATCTCATCGGCGAAAAACAGACCCACATTTCCCATTGAAATACTAATAAGTTTATATTTATTAACATTGTTCCTCATTTTAATTATTGTATTGTTTTTAAGTGTTTTTTGCACAACAAATAAGATGTGTGCAGCGTGCATAGGAATTCATTCATGGGTTTTTTTCAAATTATAATCCGGCCCTCCAACAGTTTGAGGGACTGTGACCTGGCCCTCTGTTTAAAAAGTTTGTGGATCCCTGGCTTAGAGGATGGTTACCAGTCTTCCAATTTGATGCAAAAAAGTATAGGAAAAATGGAGTGTTTGTCAGCCGTACACTGTCAGATGCATGGGAGTTGGATTGTTGACCTAATACTTCCACAGTTTACCTCTTGACGTGGCTCTCCAAGGAAATTAACTGTGACAAGGATTATATGAGCACCACCTAAGCCTCTCTCCACCTTCAAGACTGTGCCACCTTCTCACTAACTAAATTTTAGAGTCATGAAGACCATCATGTTTATATCGCTTTAAAATCGCTTCTGCTTTTAACGGTTCTGCTGAGGTAGTACTAAATTAACATTGAGCAAACTGGCAGGAGTACTTACTTAGTCCTAGCTGAGCCACCTCTTCAAGTTCAGCTTCCGTTGTTGCTGCTGCAACCACATGAGGCAACTTCAAGGTGAATGGCAAGACATCCCTGGTTTGGAAATAAAGAATAACAGCATTAATTAGTTTTGCACTTTCACATCACTGTTTTTAAATATATACACCAACTCTAGCTAAATATATTAACTTTGGATGAGTGCATGTCCTTCCTTCATAACTTTTTATTGTGCCAATTTCTCTACTGGTTTGTTTAGAAAAAGGGGTTGGAAATCCTTGGTCAAAGTTTAGAGTCTTTCTGGGATACCCTTTTCTCAAAAAGATAGCTATTGAAATGCAACTTGGGAAAAACTTGTGCAAAATGAAACTGTCCCTCATTCGAGATTTTTAAGGACCTTATTATTATTTAAAAAAAACACCTTATGAGATACAGCACATTCCACTTCTGCAGGCCACAACACCTGGGAAAAAACAGAGCTCCCTGAGAAGCTCAGCCCATCACCTGAAAGTGACTTTACCTAGACTCAAACAAAAAGGACATGAAATAACATGTACTTTTCATGCAAAAGGTCACAAGTTCACTTCCCATGAGCCCTGATAAATGATCATTGGCAGCAAAGATAGGGAAAGAATTTTGGCTGACGTATGGGATAGATAGACCCATGGCAGCTGTGGAAGTTCTCACTTTTGTAAAAGAACACATTCTGATATTAAGGACCAAGTCAAGTATTGCACATCTTAGGCAGTATTTCTTGAAGTAGATAAGTCCACATGTTGTGAAAGATTGCATTTATAAATCCAGAGTAATTTTGGGGGTTACAAACAACCACAGAGATCAACATTTTGCACTATTTTCCCATGGTGAAGAATCTTGAGCATTATCTTTTCTGAAAACATTTATTTGAGATACTAAGGGCCCTTCCAGACAGCTTCCATATCCCAGGATCTGATCCCAGGTTTTCCGCTTTGAAATGGATTATATGAGTCCACACTGCCAGATAATCTGGGATAAACAGAAAACCTGGGATCAGATTTTCGGATATAGGGCCTGTCTGGAAGGGCCCTTAGAATCACTAGGTGGAATAATCAATAACAGAGACTTCATGAAGGAAATTAATGAGCTAAAAAACATCTGGAAAAAGAACAATAAATAATATCTAACAGACTCTCTTCTCTCAAAATCAGACCACATATATTTGACAAAATACATATACATCTATTTCCTGTATAAATTCAGCCACAAATTCAGTTTAAGGACTATATTAGAAATACAACATTACCTGCTGATACAGTAGAAAGCTATGAGCCTGAATAAATCAGCAAAACTTATTCCAGAGCTTTCCAAGGAAAAGGCTACAAAACAGAAGTAAACACAGTTGCTCAATACATGTTCTGAGAAATGTTGCTAAATTGTACCTGATATGTAATAGTGAATCTACAAACACAAATTATCATTTCTAATAAAAAATGTTCACAGATCCAGCCATCTGGAATATCACAGACAAAATTCTGTTGTACACAACTGGGCTGTTTAGATTTAAAATTCTCAAATGTCTCAATAGTCACAAAACCACGATTGCAACATGAGTCAAAACTTCTATTTCACAATAATAGCTGGCCCTATCCCACACCTTAAAATCATAAGATATTGGGAAATATTATTTGTTTGCCTGAAATTACTTGCTATTTTAGTTACTGATCTTACAAAAAACCTTTATACAATACAAGTAAGGCCATTATTTTCTAATGAACACTAATACTTCTTCACAGAAATCAATGACTGTAACATATCTGTAAGCACGATAGTTTGGATTCTGAATATGACTCTGTAGACCAGAGTTTGAATTTCTACTCAGCCATGGAAACCTATTGGGGGAACTTGGGCAAATCAGAGTCTTTCAGCTTCAAAGGAAGGCAAAGGGAAACCCCTCTGAAAAATCTTGCCAAGAAAACGCTATGATAGGTTTGCCTTAGGGTTGCCACAAATCAGAAATGATTTGAATGAACACAACAACAAATACAGAAGAGCTACACTGATTGAATACATTCATATCAATGTACTTAAAAAGCAGGTGTACTGACAATAGCCAAAATGACTATACAGCAGAAGTCAGCAACCTGTGGTCCTCTGAAGGTTGTTAAACAACAGTTCTCAGCACCCCAACTAACACAGCTAATAATAAAGATCATGAATATTCTTCCCTTATACACATTATTCACACCATCTACAGCTTGGGAATAAGAAAACATCAATTTAAGGATTACACTAGACTTACACATTTTGGTGCTTCAAATATTTGACCTGTTTTGGGGATATCGGACCTGCTGATTCCAAAAATAGCACCAGTTTTTGTCTAACAGTTTTTGTCTTTGAGACACAGCACATATGCTATCCATCAATCAGTTACCATCCACTCAACAACCGAAAACCATGATCACCGTATCTAAGCAATGAGAACTGATGCAGTCTATGCAATGCAATTTTCTGAATCAGTGTTCCAAATAACCCCAGGAACAGGCCCAAAACCCAAGACACAAATATTTTTTTGTTGGGCTGTCTTAAGCTTTTGATCTTTCTTTTGCTTTTGATCTTCCCATTTGAAAAGTAATTTTTAAGGAAAAAATAAGAGTGTCACAAATGTGCAGACATTAGAAATTACATAAATATGACTAGAAAAGATATTGCTCTGTCATCTGGACTATAAATAATTTCATTTGGGGCAATACAACCTTTTTGCCTTTTTGGGTTATCACTTTTTCACTAATTCATCTAATTTCATCTACACTGTCTAGCCGGTATTGCACCACCTGACATCCGCCAGGAAGTAGCAGCCAATAGTTAAAGGACCAAGGAAGTGACATCTCCAGCTCATCCCTTGTTTGGGTATCAGCCAGCATGTCAATGATTTAAATCAAGAAATAGTTTTCTAAGATCTACGGAGACACTCGCTGGAACACCCCAGCAAGCGAGAGTCCAAAAGTGGCAGGCTCAAACCCAGAACCTCCATCAATGGCTGATACCAAATGAGAGACTCCTCCCTGGGCACGCAGAAAACTGGGTGACTTGGAAGACGCTGAACAGACTGTGCTCTGGCACCACGAGAAGCAGAGCCAATCTTAAGAAATGGGGCTACAAAGTGGAATCCACAACATGCGAGTGCGGAGAAGAACAAACCACTGACCACCTGCTGCAATGCAACCTGAGACCTGCCACATGCACAATGGAGGACCTTCTTGCGGCAACACCAGAGGCACTCCAAGTGGCCAGCTACTGGTCAAAGGACATTTAATCAACTACCAAGCTTGCAAACTTTGTGTTTTGTCTGTTTGTTTGTTTTGTTAAAAATGTAATACAAATGTCTGGTTGCTCCTGACACAACATACATACATACATACATACATACATACATACATACATATATATATATATATATATATATATATTGGAAATTATAGTTAGTCAACAGATGGATTTTTCTACTCATGAAAGTAGGATCAAAGAAAGAAACACATTCTTAAAAAACACACCCTACTTACTATATGTGCTTTCTTTTATTGCAAACTCCTTTAGGAACAATCCAGAGTCATTTGGGAGTCGTAGAGACAAGACTTTCTTCTGCATTTTTGTGGATTTCCTAACAAGGAAGGTCTATTAAAATAGAGATTATAAAAAAGCAAGACCTTGAATAGTCATGTTAGCTATATTTTAAAGAAATATCATTCTGATTCTTTGCTTTGGCAATCTAACCATGCAAGTAATCATACTGGACTTCTATAATTTTTTCATCAGGTTTATAAACTAGTAAAGTAGCTACTCAATTAATAATATACAGTATTGCCTAAACCCAAAATATATCTTGGGTTTTGCCCAAATAGTCTTGTGAAAGACACAATACAGATTTAAGTAAAGCATATTAAATATGCCGCTGCCTCTGAGCCATGTTTCTGTTCTCTATTAACCCTCACAATATTTGAGCCTCTCTACTGGCACAAAAAGTGCATGGGCCACTTCTTGTCAGTGGTAATCTGTGCAACTCAGTGGTGGAACTCAGCTAGGGCTGAAGGTTTAGACACATCATTCATGCTAGGAATCAGATTCACATTCACCCTCCATTTGGGAGGGGCCACAGCTCAATGGCAGAACACAAACACTGACTGCGGTGTCTCAGGTCCAATCACCAGTTACAATAATATTGGACAAAAGACCACGGACACATAATAATAATAATAATAATAATAATAATAATAATAATAATAATAATAATAATATCCCACTTTTCTCCTTCACGGGACCCAAGAGGTTTACAACATATTAAAATCATGTAATCAACAATCCAAATTCATTGATGATACGTATAAAACATAATAAAAGAAACAGTTTAAAACAACAATAATAAACATTCACATTCTTGTGTCATCATGTCAGATTATACTGCACTTTGTTCCAGTCCATAAACATTATGGTGTTTCTAATTACTCCAGTTTAGTTTCCTTCACTAACGGCCTGTCTAAACAGGAATTTTTTTATTGGTTCTTGAAAGAAGAAAGGGAGGGAGCTGTTTTAATTTCTTTTAGAAAGGTTCTTTTCCTTACTCAGGGCTCTTCCACACAGTCATATAACCCAGAACATCAAGGCAGAAAATCCCAAAATACCTGAACTGGGCTATCTGAGTACACATTGCCATATATTCCAGTTAAAAGCAGATAATGTAGGATTTCCTGCCTTGATATTCTGGGTTATATGGATGTGTGGAAAGGCCCTCAGATAATTACAGTTAGTCAGAAGAGAGTGTACTGGGCTAAATGGACCAATGGCCTGCCATAGGTACCAGGCTGAATTCAACATGTATGATTATCTCAATCAGAGGGCCAAAGCCAGTCTTTTCTGAGTTTCTCCCTAACATGATCCACACATAGAGAGAATGGCATGGCACATTGCTATTTTGCTGTTCATGAGTGTGTGAGAAGCATAGTTGTATTTCATCTTCTCTGAAAATAAACTAAATTAGGCTGTTATATATAACAGTAGGAGTGCTCCCAAATAAGTATTCTGTTGGTTTTAGAGAGAAATCAAACTGTTTCTTACTCCAGGAGGTTGTGAACGTAGAACTTCAGATGCTTCGGAGTCATTTAAGCCAAGCTGTAACCAAATAGGGTGTGTATGAAGAAGTTTATCCAGAATGCTGAGTTTATTAGGAAGGCTGTCATATCCAGAGTCTCGTGTGATGCTTTTCAATTCTTTTTGAAGATCTGAGTACACATTACCCATAGCTTTGTCCAAGCTATAAATGAGAGAAATAATAGCAAACATTAAACTTCCAAATTTAAGTTACTTGCAAAACTATCAGTGCTTTTCAAAAGAGCATATTATGCTCCATATTATGCTCCAAAACAAACAATTCTTTCCCGAATATTTAGGATTATGCTAAAGGTGAAGTGGAAACTTAATTCCCCTTTCTCAAACCAAACAAGCATTTACTACTATGCAAGGTGAAGAATGCAACCACCTTTGAGGTCTGTTGATAGCCATTGTTGGAGACATCATGCCTAGCTATATTAATCTATTAATCTCTTGACACTCATTGCATCCTAATGCTAATTCTCTACCATATACATTGTACTCCTTCGATGTGATGAAATAAGTACAGATTGAACATCTCTTATCTAGAATTCTGAAATCCAAAATGGTCCAAAATTCCTAATTGTCGATATGGGTTACTAAGAAAATGACAGCTTTGCTTTCTCATAGTTTAATGTACACAAAGTTTGTTTCATGCACAGAATAACTCAAAATATTGTATGAAATTGCCTTCAGGCAATGTGTATATAGACTTGGGCCCCAACTCCAAAATATCTCATTATGAATGTACTAGCCATCCCCTGCCATGCGTTGCTGTGGCCCAGTTTCTGTATATGTGTATATATGTGACCCTGAGTCGCCTTCAAGCTGATATGGGCGGGATAGAAATAAGGTAAATAAATAAATATATGTGGTTTTGCGCATGTGTTATAATGTATTTTTTATTTTTTGGCTTTTCATATCTCTTCCACTGTGTTTTTCAGTGTTTTTATGAGTGATGATCACTCATTGGCCTAATAGGTGTATTGTGTCCAAATTTGGTGTCAATTTGTCAAGTGGTTTTTGAGTTATGTTAATCCCACAAACAAACATTACATTTTTATTTATATAGATATGCAAGTACAAGTATTGAAAATTTTGAAAAAATCCAATACAGAATATTCAACCTGTAGCTGCTTAAAAAAGCTGTCACCATCATAAACAGTATCTTAAGGAGCTACTGCTAACAATACTTCTCTTTTACAATATATTAGTGCACAGGACAAGGTTAGACATTGTAAGAGTAAAGTGACAGGATTTTTGTTGTTTGTCCTCTTATCTGTTTCTCAAATAATCCTTATCCAATGTCTACTGACCCCTCACCTGAGCTACAACAGCCTCTGGATTTGGAACAAGTGTTTGCATACAGATTCCTGACCTTGCATAGAAGTACTTTATGCAAGGTCAAGATACTTAGTCTCAAAACCGCTGTTTAGGGAGGAAGCCCATAAAAAATAGTGATACCAACTTGCTTCTGTTATATCCTTGAGAAGTGAATCTACTTGACTTTACTAGTAAATCAGTTCTGATAGGGTGCTAAAATGTAATATTTCTGGTGGCATAGAATAATTTATGAAATGGCATATATTGACAAAATTGATGTACCATATTTACTTGAATCTATTGCAGCCCTGGATTTAATGCACACATAAATTTTCAAAACCCTAAAACAAACAAAACATATTTGCTGAGAAGTGTAAAGCACAGCAGCAAAAAAGGGGGAAAGATGGGAAGGAAAGGAAGGATGACAAGAAGACAGAAGGAAGGAACGGAAGAAAGAATAGGAAGAGAGAGGAAAGAGGGAATTGAGAAAGAAGGAAAGGGAGGAAACAAAAAAAGGGAGAGAAAGGTGGAAAGGACAGAAAGCAAGGTTAAAAAGGCGAGTGGATGGGTACACGCACAGGACAGGCAGCGGGAGCATGTACTGGCCTCCCTGTTTTCCCTGAGACACAGTTGCCTTTACCTCCTCCTTCACTGCTCCAGGGCCCCATCTCCTTCACCTCTGCTCACTGGGGCCTGACACCTAGCCAAAGCCAGGGCCGCCTTCTGTGCAAGTGAGGCCCCCTCCTTGCACACAGGCCACACTTCAATGACCGCTGATGGGTGCCAGATCCCCTCCCTTTGGAAGCACTGACCCTGAACCGCAGGTATAATCCCCAGAGGTGTTCCAGAGGCAACAATAGGAGATCACTGCGAGGGCCCAAATCCTCTACATCTTCTTCAGGTAGAGCCCCTCCATCTGCTTACAGATGGAAGAGGCCGAGGCATGCCGCCAGGCTGTGCCATCCTCTTCCCACCCATCTGCACCAGGTGAGGTGGCAGGCCCTGACGAGAGGAGCTGAAGGGGGTGGGCCTGGGGAGTGGAGGAGGTGAAGGTGAAGGCAACCACTGCCTCTCATGTGCACCTGCCAGCAATCCTAGCCTTTTCCTAGCTTTCCCGTATTACACAAATGTAATGCACATTTCAATTTTGGCATGGTCATTTAGCCAAAAAAGGGGTGCATTAGACTCATGTAAATATGGTAAAAAGGGTAAAGGTTTCCCTTTGACAATAAGTCTAGTCGTGTCCAACTCTGGATATGGTGCTCATCTCCAATTCTAAGCTGAATAGCTGACATTGTCCATAGATACCTCCAAGGTCATGTGGCTGGCATAACTGTATGGAGCATCATTACCTTTCTGCTGGAGCCGTACCTATTGATCTACTAACATTTGCATGTTTTCGAACTGCTAGGTTGGCAGAAGCTGGGGATGACAGTGGGAGCTCACTGTGCTCCCCAGATTCAAACCACCAACCTTTTGGTCAGCAAGTTCAGCAGCTTAGTAGTTTAACCTGCTGCACCATCAGAGCAAAAAAAAAGCCAAAAAAGGGCCCCATTACATTCGCATAAATATGGTATAGTGGATTAATCCTTTCTAGGAGGGAGGGATTTTCTAACCCAAGTTCTATTAAAGCTGCCGGCTGATTCAAACTGTGGGGACACTGCTGGCAAAGTGAAATGCAAGCAATAAAGAGGACACCCACAATTCAAGTCCCGCTTCAGGCAAAATTAACTATATGGATAAGTATGAGAAAATACGGCATTCTTGTTTTTTTATTTTCCAATACATTGATAATATTATTATGCTATCCCATTTTTATATTCTGCATATTTTTTACTTATAAATACAAAAAATATACATATATCAATATGCTATTTTACACTTGTTATAAGTGTATTTTTCAAATACATACATTTTAACTCATGCATATTTTTGAAATTTATATACCTTTTCCTTCAAAATGCATTACAAGGATCACTAACGCATGGATCTCCAAGGCAAAATACTAATCTGTTTTGCTTCACGGCCTAGAAATGTGTACTCCATATAGGGTTTGACTTTTTTCGGTTTTATTAGCCACAGATTTGATTAATATTCGCGCTCTAACAATCGCTAGCCCTTTGGCACAACACTATGATTAATCAATTTTCCGCAAAGAAATGGGAAATTATGGTTTCCATTTGACATTTGATGTTTTGTCTTCTGTCTGTTATAACAGGCTGTGCTTTTTATTTAATTTTAGTTTGTTAAGTTATAATTCAAATTAATATGTTGAGTTGTATAAATTTTGTTATTATGGATGTATTGTTGTTGTATTCGGGCATTGAATGTTTGCCTTTTATGTTTGGAATCCGACTTGAGTCCCTCTGGGGAGATAAGAGTGGAATATAAATGAAGATGATGATGATTATTATTATTATGGTCAACTTCTGCCCGAAGGTGACGACAAAGTTGTGCTTAAGGATCTAGGGATTCTTAGCGATGTGTTTTCTCAGGTTTAAAAAATAGGTTTTTTAAATTCACACTTCTGCTTTTACAGGGATCCAGCACACTTAACCCACCAATTGTGGAGGGACTACATTTTAAAAAGAAATGTTTAAAATACAATAACGTAAAACTATATGCCCATAATCCACATTTTTGTGATTTTTTTCCTTTCTTTTATGGAACAAAATATGTTACACATCCATTCTGTGCTTCAGAAGGTAATGAGCGGCATTCCAAACATTTCTGCCCTGGAGTTCTCATTTGTCCTGGAAAGTTTAGTTAGCTGTGAGGAATGATGGATACTGCACTTTGAGAATATTTTGCCATCCCTGCTTTAAAGAAAACCCGATAATCTGAAGTACACTTACACTCATGGGAAGTTCTATAGTTTCTTCAGTGATCACAAGTATTAAAACATACAACACATGGAGGCATGATGTAGGCTGTATTTAGTGCAGTTTTTCTATTTCCAAATTGAATGCATCTTCTGCCGCTACTGAGCAGAGATCAGTTTCTGGCCCAGAAACTGTAGTTTTAAGACACATGTTGACAAGCTAGCTGTGCTACAGCTCTCTAAGCAAAGGTACTGCCTCTCTACTGTATCTCCTAGTTCCACCAGTCACAATGGACTCATTAAATGACTTCACAATGAGCAATTGTATGGCATTCCACCAGTGTAAAAACAGCCTACTCAAAATTGCTATGACTTATTGCATGTGACCTGCCATCTGAGTTCAAGTACAGCTCTCACCTGTAATTTGATGCAGAAGGGCATTTACATTCCAATAGAAAGGAAATACCTTTGTAATAAAAATATTGCAGATGTCCACCTAAGCCTCAGAGGCAATGTTTCATATCTTATATCAATGGCTTGTGTCAAACCATTCTTTCCAGCACAGTCATGATTCATAACTCCCTGTGCAGACTAGTCACTGGGAAAGGGTGGGTGGCACCAAGACTCTTCTGTCATCGCCATGTTCTTTCTGTTTTGGTACAAGATGAATCAATCTCGAACTTCCTCTCACAGTTGATTTCTATGTGACAATGTGGTGTGGGAAAATCCTTCTCTGCAGCTGTGTCCTATAGCACACCATTAATGTTTATATGCAGGCGCAACCAGACATATCAACTAAGCTTCTCCATATTCTTTGGTGTACTCCATACAAATGTCTGAAAAGTGTTAAAGCACATTCGGCTGAACACCAAATCTCCTCTGCCTTGAGATCTTTTCTCCCAATGGTCTCCACTTACTAGAGCAGTTTTTGTTTTGTTTTCTAGTACTTTGGTGAATTGCTGTTCTTATTTTGCCCCTATTTAAGTTTCTTTTTCCAGATTTTGGGGCACCTTCTTAAAATTTTCATTTAAAATTTAGCTCCATCCATCTGTCTGGAGTCCAAACTGAGCCGGATACGGGAACAACATTATCTACCAAGTGATCTTTCCTACTTTCACGTGGGCCAAAATAAAATGGGCCCTCAATCAAACAGAAGTTGTTCTAGTTGACTACAGCTAAGCAATGGTAGTGGAGAAGTGCACTCCACACTAAGTGTGTTCTACAATGACCTTTAAGTTATGGTACATCAGGGTTTTTTTCATCCCCCCCCCCCCCCCAGCTTTTTCACTGATCTCTGTGCTCAACAGGGTCTTATAAGTAACAATAGGCCCTTAGGAACAGCTTCATTCACTTCTCTATTCCAGCAGCGAACAACGGCTTTGTCTGCCTAGTTTTGGTGATGAGATAATTCCCCCCAGAGCTACCAGGATTACTTTTAAATTCACAAGTCTCCAAACAAGATCCACAACTCCTACAGAGATCAGAAGTCCCAAGAATTCTAAGCCTTGGTAGGAAATGATCCACCGCTGGCAAATATCACAAATTCTCACATCCACTGATCACTATCATCCTGCCCAGAGGAAACAACAGGTCTGGTATATTTCCAGCTATGAGGATTGGACTGTGTGGCAAGACACGTAGCAGCCATGAACTCCTGCCAGCCATGAACTCCTAAGGAGAGACTATCTCAACTAAGATGTTGAAATTACCCAGGGAAATAGCCCTGTGGAAATTCAACACAACAACTGAGATCACTTCAATAAGCAATAGGAGGGAGACTGACAAACTGTGTAGCACCAACAGATTACCAATCCTGTAAAACAGTCAAAACTCAATAGCTGCCGGATAAGATACTTCGGTAGGGGAATGGTCTTATGCTTCTTTATTTCTGGGACTAGCTTGTGACTACATTGCAAAACCTGATGGGTTTAAACTGAAATATTAACTGGCTTGCTGTGAGTTTTCTGGGCTGTATGGCCATGTTCCAGAAGCATTCTCTCCTGACGTTTCATCCACATCAATGGCAGACATCCTCAGAGGTTGTGAGGTTAGTTCTCACAACCTCTGAGGGTGCCTGCCATTAATGTGAGTGAAACGTTAAGAGAGAATGCTTCTGGAATATGGTCATACAGCCTGAAAAACTCATAGCAACCCAGTGATTTCAGCCATGAAACCCTTCAACGACACACTGAAATATTAACTCCTTTCACTTTCCCCAACCAGTTCTTTCTCACACGTGCTAAGTCAACATCCACACCCAGGATCAAGTCCTCAGTGGTCAAGGTCTTCCTATTTACTGAACTGGCAACCAGCAGCAGGATTTTGCATTCAAACTGTATTAACTATCATTAACAACTGTGTGAACAAAAAGTGAAATACAAACAATACATTTGAAACCCTTTGAACTGATTTTCTAGTCAGAAATGTTTCACAAAGGTGAAATGAAAAGAGTTTAAAATTGTATTTCAGCACCATTTTAACTGAAGCATAAATTCTACATATAGTTGAGTTTTGTCTCCACCTTTATTTAAATGGAAATGACAAAATGCTCTTCAATGACTTCAATACATTTATATAATAAATTGTGTTTGCTTTTTCTATTTTCAAAGAGTAATTCCATTTAAGATGAAATCTCTAAATAACTAAACTGAGGGCTCATTTAATTTCTTTATTGAGTCCCTTCATATTTCACAAAGTCAGGTTTAATTTTAAATGAGACATCAATGCTATAGAAATCTGCTGTTGTTACAGGAAACCGGGAGTGTTTACAAAGAAATGGAGCAAACACTCACAAAGTTTCATCATCAGTTGCTGCCACAGGCAAACGGCATTAATGAGTATAGGAAAAATGCAATATTTCATAGTGGTAGAGCTAAAAATCAATTAACAAGCTAGAAATTAGCATCTTTATAACTAAAACACCACATCTACACCACAAACATGTGCCATACACTGCTATTCAGCAATATTAAATAGACTTTAAACTCACCTTTGTAAACTTGTGGGCCCATCTTCCAGCACTAGATCCGTGTGTACCATTTCTTGTTTCAGTTCTCCGATTTCTGAAGCGATTGTGTCAATTAACTAGAAGAAGGGGAAAAACAGTATGACACGAATAAGCGGGAGAGGTGTGGAAACAGAAGAACAAACAGGATGAATCACTAGACATTACAATCCATTTTAATTTTGACTTCCTTTTCCTAAGGGTGGAGAGGGGGTTGGGCAGGATAAGGAAACACTATCAACTACTAAAGGTGGAAAAAATGATGTTGATATTGCTGGGAAATTCCTGACCTTGATTCTTAGTGCTCGCTGTATTATTTACAGACGTGGCTATATATAAAATTATAAACATTTGACTGCCTTTCTGAGAAGAGAGATAAAGAGAGACTAACACAAACCAAGAACATACACATCCAGCTTAGAGCACAACTAAACTACGCTACAACCTAGCAAGCTTAAAAAACTATTTGGATACAATCCAGACAAAATTCAGCACGCTTTACTTTGGCTGAATCACTGTTGTTGTTGGGATGCCTGTCATTTCCAACTTATGACAAATCCATGGTAACCCAATACCAGCATTGCCTAGCTAAGATTTGCCATTGCCTTCCTCTGAAGCTGAGAGAAAGTGAATTGCCTAAGGTCATTCAGTGGGTTTCCATGAAGAAGGATCTGAACACTGCTTTGCCAGATTCTTAGACCAACATCAACCCACTATCCCACACTGACAGTTTTAAAGGCTGAGTCATGTCTATAACATATATAACAGGTACGGGAATCATGTTACCCTTCGTTTGGACTCGAACCATAGCCAATGATGAAGAGGATCATATTGCTTCTACCCTGACACTGGGTATATATGGCAACTTGCATATATTTACAAAATCTTTAACAGCTTTGTTGGTAGGTTATTTATTATTCAGTAAACTGGAAATAAGTTTCTGACTGAATCGGGGAATATGGAAGGCCACCTAGTTAGGTCAGGACTAGGGTAATATCTAAGCCAGGATCCTGCTGGATTTTAGCCACTATGCTGCACCAGCAACTCTATGCATTCTGTCAAATTAAATATAAATGGCTGGAAATGACAGCACACAACAACAATACAATTACTATTACTGTGCTGTCGCACGCTGTGCCTGTGCATAAGACTTTAGACAGGACATAAATTCTGTGTGCCCAACGGGACGCCGGGGCTGCCTCAGATTAAAGGCCCTTGGATTTCCTTAAAACAGAGTCTTTAGATTGCTTAAAGGTTCAACAAAGTTCTTTATTATTGAAAACAAACAGGTACTTTAAGGCTTTCTTAATAGTCTATTGGCTCTCTCAATCTTGTCCATAGGGAACAGGCACTATCTTCATAACTGTATACTAACTAATGGGGAAACCCTTAACTTCTAATCTGGGCAGTCTGTCTTTGCCTCTGTTGGCGTGGAGCCCCTACACCTGGTACCAACTGCTTCTGGCTTCCGCGAGTGACCCTTACCAGGCAGAGCTTTGTAGACTTCCAGGGGAAAAAAGAAGGAATTCAGGCTTCGGTGATGGCTGACTGAAGTTCCTCAGCGAAGGAGCTGTAAGGCTGTATAATCCTTGGCCAAGCTATGGGACCTTTCTCCCCTGCCAAGCTGTAGAAGACGAAGCTTTCTACAGAAGCTCTTAGTATTATGTCCTGCATGGAAAGCTTCCCTGTGTGGACTGACCCAAAAAGGCTCCTATTCCCTCCAAAACCCAAAAAGGGGGCAGGACCAGGGAACCTAACTATAATTGACAGGTGGCTTGCCCTATGATTGCAGCAAAAAGAAGCCACCTATCTGCAGAGTCCCTGAAACTTAGGACTATAACAAACATTAAATGCAGTTATACCTGCACAATTACTAAAGCCAAGTATGAATTTCTTAGGGGAAGCATCCAGTTGATTTCTCTCCATATTAAGAAACAAACAACAACAAAACAAAACTTTATTTATATACTGCTCTATCTCCCCGAGGGGACTCAGAGCAGTTTCCAAGTAACATCATCAATATATACAGAGTAAACAACATAAACATAAAATTAACAAAGCAATATAAGCATAAAGAATCACAATAAAACTTATATATTTAACATAATGTTGCCTGTTCAAGACAATTTAAAAAGGCTGGGCCGAGGCTAGTGCAATTTCTAGAGGGTCCAGGAAATTAGGTGCAATGCTATAGAAGGCAACAACAACAATAGGTATAGTCTATGGCTGTTCGTGGCTGTGAGTATAGCCTCACAGCAGAGAAGCTATACTTTTTCTTCATCTTAGTTCTGGTATTGGAATTATGTGATTATGTATCACTTAACAAGGTTCCAGATTTTTTCAATAATAATTACCAGGGACAAGTACTAGACAGAGTCCCATACCCTTCTCATTTACTGAATCATATTCCAGGAAGAGCTTGACCGGGAATTGGAGAATAAGGTGCAGATCAGTGTGGGACCCTTGTTTATAAATTTAGAAATAGAGAAAAAGAAAAAAAAAAACACTGTCTAGCAAGCTCAGTTACCCCAACAACGTGCTCCTGGTGAATAACATTTGTTAAACTCCCAGGAATCAGTAACATGGGAGGGTTGGATGTTAACACCAAAGCACCATGTCACTGTTGGAAGCAACAACCTAAATTCTAATAATAAAGTATTACATTTATTTGAATTTATCAAAAATACATCACAACTGTTTTTCCTTGTTATATGAAAGTGTGTGAGAGAGGAATGCAGTCAATGTTGTGAATAATTATTTGATACAGCAGTGGGTTAAACTGCTGAGCTGCTGAACTTGCTGACCAAAAGGTCTGTGGTTCAAATCCAGGGAGCACGGCGAGCTCCCGCTGTTAGCCCCAACTTCTGCCAACCTAGTAGATTGAAAACATGCAAATGTGAGTAGATCAATAGGTACCACTTTGGCAGGAAGGTAATGATGCTCCACGAAGTAATGCCAGCCACATGACCTAGGAGGTGTCTACGGACAATGCCGGCTCTTCGGCTTAGAAATGGTGCTGAGCACCACTCGCCAGAGTTGGACATGACTAGGGGAAACCTTTACCTTTACATTACAGCAAAATAGGAATATGATGTCTAGATCCAGGGAAGTCATGCTACCCCGTTATTCTGCCTTGGTTAGACCACACCTGGAATACTGTGTCCAATTCTGGGCATCACAATTGAAGAGAGATATTGACAAGCTGGAATGTGTCCAGAGGAGGGCAACTAAAATAATCAAGGGTCTGGAGAACAAGCCCTATGAGGAGTGGCTTAAAGAACTGGGCATGTTTAGCCTGCAGAAGGCTGAGAGGAGACATGATAGCCATGTATAAATATGTGAGGGGAAGTCAGAGGGAGGAGGGAGCAAGCTTGTTTTCTGCTGCCGTGAAGACTAGGACATGGAACAATGGTTTCAAACTACAGGAAAGGAGATTCCACCTGAACATTAGGAAGAACTTTCTGACTGTGAGAGCTGTTCAGCAGTGGAACTCTCTGCCCCGGAGTGCGGTGGAGGCTCCTTTTATGGAGGCTTTTAAACAGAGGCTGAATGGCCATCTGTTAGGGGTGCTCTGAACACAACTATCCTGCTTTTTGGAAGGGGATTGGACTGGATGGCCCACAAGGTCTCTTCCAACTCTACGATTCTATGATTCTATATCAGATACCATGACTATTAAGTGGAATTGAAAGCAGACTTCAGATGTTAAAAGAAGTACTTCTTCTGTTCTTTCTCAAGGGAAGAACTGGCCATGTCAAAAAGAAGAATGGTATATCTCTCCTCATAGTAGTCTTCATTTTGATACTGTAAATGAAATGCTAGATTTGATCAAGGGGTTTATTTAACCCTCATGCTACATGTGAATTGAGATGATCTGCAGACCAATATAGAGAGATCATAATACAGTTACCATTAGCTTTTTGCACACATACTGTTTTGCAATGTTGTTTTTTTTTACTCAGAAATGAATAAAATGCAAATGCATATGTGCTCCTGACACGATAAATAAATAAATAAATAAATGTTATAATGTTTGCTAATATAAATTGCCTTGGGGAGGGGAGAGAGTCAAAATAAAATGATTTTTTTTAAAATAATTAGAGAATGACTGACCTCTCCATCCCTAGCAGGTCTTCTGCATGGACATATTAATAGTCTGTACCAGTGGTTTGTTTCAGTGCACCTTCTGGTGCTCACATGCCCCCTACTGGACACAAAGGCACACTGTACCACAAACACAGTGTAAAAAAGATGAAGATGATCAACTAGCCATACGGTTGAGCAAAATTTCCTTATGCTTGCCAAGATGCAGGAATGTCTGAGGAATGATAATCTAAAACCCTGTATGGGACTGGTTCTCAACACTTGGTTCTCCCTGTGTTTTTTAGTTCAACTTGCAAAAGCCCCACTTACCATAGCCAAGAGAACAGGATTATGGGAGTTGAAATCTATAATACCTTTAAAATAGGGTGTGACTGCTCTTTGGTACACATAGGGACATCAGGCTTTCCATAGGATCCATGTAAAATGTGATCAGACCACCCACTTCACAGAAATGTAACACGCTTTGCCCCCATTGTCAGCTTGGTCCTAAGTCTGTGATTATTTTCCCACAAGAAAAGAATGCACTTTTAGGGGGACAGGACCAAGTCCTATGAGAAGGAACTTAGGAAGCTGGGTATGTTTAGCCTGAGGAGAAGGTTAAGAGGGGACATGATGATCATGTATAAATATTTGAAATGATGTCATGTTTAAGATGGTGTAAGCTTGTTTTCTGCAACTCCAAATTTTAGAATATGGAGCAATAAATTTAAACTGCAAGAAAAGAGATTCCACCTGACTATTAGGAAGAAATACCTGACACTAAGAGTTGTTCAACAGTGCAATATGCCATTTCGGAATCTCCTTCTCTGGAGGGTTTTAAGCAGAGACTGGGTGGTCATTGTGTGTTTCTGCATGACAGGGGATTGGACTGGATGGTCCTTGAGGTCCTAGAATTCTTTGGTTCTACTTTTGGGGTGTGCCTAAATCCCAGGCTGCTGTTGAACCCAGTGCTGGTGAGTGGGATGGGGAACATCTTTGCCTCTCTTCTGGGTTACAGACTGAAAGCAGCCGAGAAAGAGAACAAAATCCATATTGTTCAGGAGTTATACTGAAAACTGAGCAAACTACTATAAATGCTATGGTTCCTGCCTTTTGGCAGGATGTAATCTTGTGGGTCTGTTAAAAACATTTCTTTTATAGTTCTGTCCACTAGAGGGATGCATCCCTCTAATGAAAAATAAGGAACTACAAACAGCTTTGGGGTTTCTCCTTGCAAATTCTACTCCTCATTAACTAATTTAGAAATGTTGCATCATAAACAGAAATGCCTTTCACATTTTGCTTTGCTTGGACATTTATCTCTAATCTAGATAAATAAAAATATAATGTTCATTTGTGGGATTAACATAACTCAAAAACCACTGGATGAATTGACACCAAATTTGGACACAAGCGACCATCACTCATAAAAACGCTGAAAAACACCACAGAAGAGACTTTAAAAGCCAAAAAATAAAAAACACATCACAACCCATGCGCAAAGCCACATATACACACACACACACATATACACATATATATACACACAAAACACATATACACAGACTGGGCCACAGCAACGCGTGGCAGGGGATGGCTAGTCTTACATAAAAAAATAAGCACACAAATGATAATACAAAATTGTATTATCATTAGAACTAAACTGCATTTTGTTTTTTAAAAACTCTTTTCTTGTCACTGTCACACACACAGAGTGTTTCCATTTCTGCAAATAACACTGGAGACCCATGCACACACCTTTTTTTCATTATGTTATACAGCCATAGTAAAAGTAAAGGTTTCCCCTTGACATTAAGTCTTGTTGTGTCCGACTGGGGGTTGGTGCTCATCTGTATTTCTAAGCTGAAGAGCTGGCATTGTCCATAGACACCTCCAAGGTCATGTGGCCTGCATGACTGCATGGAGCACTGTTACCTTCCCGCAGAAGCAGCACCTATTGATCTACTCACATTTGCATGTTTTTGAACTATTATGTTGGCAGAAGCTGGGGCTAACAGTTGGAGCTCATGCAGCTCTCTGGATTCGAACCACCAAACTCTCGGTCGGCAAGTTCAGCAGCTCAGCAGTTTAACCCACTGTGCCACCAGAAGGCCTCTGTTATACAGTAGCTAGCTGAATGTATCTAGGAGGAATCGTTATTTGGGCCAGTCAGACTGGTTTAGACCAAGAGTTGGCCTTAGCTGCTATGACTGGCAATCTATGTATATATATAAAAAAAACCAACAGAGAATGTAACCTGTAGCTCTCCCTTGATTTCTAATAAATCTTTGATACCATTGGCATCTTACTAGGCCAGCTCTTTGGAACGGGAGTAAGAGGTACAATATTATTGTGGTGTCGCTGGAGTTGGGTGTCATCAGTAGGCGCTCTTTGCTATAGGATTAATGCAGGTTTCCCTGCCATGGTTGGAAAAACACAAAATATTTTAAGGTGCAATCCCTTCTGATGATATAAGACATTTTAAAGGACACAAATTATGCTTGCCTGCATTGCAAGCATGTTGTCGTTTTAAGCCTAAGGCAACTTTGCCATGGAGTTTTCCTAGCAAGATATGTTCAGACTGGTCTTTCATTTGCCATCCTCTGAAGTTGAGAGTGTGGTTAGCCTAATGCTACCCAAGTAGATTTCCCTGGCAGAGCAGGGATATGAACCCTGGTCTCCAGAGTCCAATGCTCAAAGCATTACACTACACTGGGTCATGGCTTTCAGCTGCCAGACACAGCAGCCAAACAGGAAAAAGTTGCTGAATTTGCATCATATCCTGATTTGTCTATATTACATTAAATGTTCTGGAGATGATAAAATGACGCCCTAAGTTCTATATTCGAGGGCAGTGATAGTGAACTTTTTAGAGGCACAGTGCCCAAACCCGGGGGGAGGGGATACTTGGGAGTAGACGAATGGGCGAGCGAGCGGGTGTGGTTAAGTTGCGGATCCAAAGAAGATTACATCTGGTGTACATATCCCCACTGTAAATTATGTCTGAATCCTACTGCATATCTGCAGTTTAGTGTTCTCTTCAACTAGTGAAGCTCCTACAGTCTTAAAAGCCACCTTGTCTCAGGCTGTGGCAGACAGCCAACAATGGAGGCATAATTCTGTTTTTGCTGGTGCATTCCTCTGAAGTTATGTGTACCATCAAGATATTTTTAGTAGTTCAACAACTGGCTGTTGCTTTGCGGTGTAATTCTGGAATTTATCACTAGCATTCATACAGTGTGCATTAAATCTTGACAGAACACAGGCAGTGGAAAAGAGTAAAAAACCAGGTGTCATTGATATGGCAATAAAAAAATCTATTCAGAATCCAGGAAAACTTGCTGCAATTTATATCCTAATACACTGGAAAGAGAATACAGACTGGATATGGTGTTTTGAAAAGGGCACATGTAATGATAATAGAAACCACTTCCAGATGCAATAGCATCATGAAAGTGAGGGGGATAGTCAGTTAAAACACAGGCAAGAACTTACAAAGTGGACTGCCATTCTACTGCACAAACAGGCTAAAAATATAGGACACCCTATACTTTCCATAAAAAATACAAATATGTTTGCCACACATACACAACTTTTATCTTAAAATGTTCCTATGGTAACTTGGTGCACAGATCCGCAAGGGATCTTGGCCGAATCCAGATTCTCAGCTGTGACATTTACACAATAGCAACTGTGGCAATGGGATTTATGTGGGCGTGTTTAGTATAAACACCAGACACAGCCTGTCAATTCAGACCAGTGTACCAAGATTTAACTCCTTATGCCCCACTGTGTTCTCATCCATGGTGGCAATACATTGAATTTACAGTAGGAGAAAGCCACCATTGGTAATGTAAACAGCAGGTGTGATTGGAAGAGAAAGTGAGAAGCATTCCTATTTGACTCTCCACAGTTCTGATATAAATCAGGATCAATTATGCCTACTATTGTCTCACAACTTTTTTTTGTATTTACACTTCTTAATTGTGTGAATGATACCCTTTCTAAATGTATCCTTGGAAACATAAATATAGGCATTTAAAGAAGGGTAAATGGCAACCATGCTTTAAGCATACAGCAGAAAATACTGATGTTAAGAGTATGATTACTTTTATGGGGATGTTCTTAGCAAACTTCCTAGAGGTCAGCGATAAGTCTTCTATCACATATTGTGATAACAATAGTGTTTGGGTATCAGCCAGCACGTCAACAACTTAAATCAAGAAATAGTTTTCTAAGATCTACAAAGACACTCACTGGAACACCTCAGCAAGCGAGAGTCCAAAAGTGGCAGGCTCAAACCCAGAACCTCAACCAATGGCTGATACCAAATGAGAGACTCCCCCCTGGGCACACAGAAGACTGGGCGACTTGGAAGGTGCTGAACGGACTGTGTTCTGGCACCACGATGTGCACAGCCAACCTTAAGAAATGGGGCTACAAAGTGGAATCCACAACATGCGAGTGTGGAGAAGAGCAAACCGCTGACCACCTGCTGCAATGCAACCTGAGCCCTGCTACATGCACAATGGAGGACCTCCTTGCGGCAACACCAGAGGCACTCCAAGTGGTCAGATAGTGGTCAAAGGACGTTTAATCAACTACCAAGCTTGCAAATTTTGTGTTTTGTCTGTTTGTTTTGTTCTGTTAGAAATGTAATACAATTGTTTGGTTGCCCCTGACACAATAAATAAATAGTTAATTCGTTTTAAGACTATACAGGATGTTTTTTTTTCTTTTTCTATTAGTTTATAAAGTACTATTGGTCATGAATAGCACTATATAATTGTAAATGAATAGCACTATATAATTGTAAACAATTACCACAACCTTAGAAGACAAGAACAGTGAAAGATGTCACAAGCTACATGAGAGAGCCCATCTAAGGGACTTTTTCTGGAATCTCATTCCATGTTTCTTTTCTTGTAAGTACCTGAATATTTCCTCTGAAGTTTCATTAAAGAAGGCTAGTTTTAAACTATCTAACATAAGCATAACAAGTGGTGCCTATTTCTTGGCTGGACAGGGGTATGCCAAGGATATGCATCAGACACAGCCAAAAAGCCTTCATGTTTTTAGCGTCCGCAGCCTAATTTTTCCTCCATGAAGGAAATGATTTAAATGCCAGGCCAGCTTTCCCCACTTGTGAAGCACAGGAACTGGTTTCAGCTGGTGTAGTACCAACCACTATTTCCACAGCTGAGGTGGATTTTAAGAACTAGAGTGTAAGCAAAAAAATGTTGATCTCATATTTAGTGGTAAACTCTTTCAAGTAATCTGTCTCACAGCAAAAGCTGCAGCAGCTGGGCACTCATCCACGGTTGAAAAGAAAAATTATAACTGCCTGAAATCAGGGAAGGTTTTCACAGAAACACTCTGCTTTTCCCCCCTACACCCCCAACCTATTACTCATGGTTCAGCATTAACCTACAGCTGTTGTGTGTATTTGTGTATACACACACATACACACACACACATTTAAAACACTAGCTGCCAAGATCAATACAAAATATATCATACTATATAAAAACACTATTTGAGCAAACACACAACTGAAGAATATATATTTTGGAGAAACCTCAAAAAGGCAGGATGCAAAGCAATAGTAATATGATGATTACAGCTGTACATGCAGCTTGCTTTCTGACCAAACACTTTTGCATCAAGTTGAAATAAAGAACATGCTGTTTTTAAAGTCACTCCATCAAATAACAAAAGTCTGACATATGGAAACAAGGAATCCAGTGCTTTAAAGGCTCTGTCAAGGCTCTGCATCTGGAAAGTTACTTGCATACACTGAAAAGCACCTTCCATTTCAAAGCAAAGTATGCTTTGCTGCTGAAAAAATATATATGATGAATTTTCAGTTACCTTAAAAAAGCTTCCTCTCTCACCGAGACACTGTGAGTCCATGGTTGAAGTTGACATTTCTTTGTGAAAGCACTGCTGGACTCCTCCTAGAAGCAGAGACATTTTTAATGGTTAGTCCAGTCTGTAGGAAATTCCTTTCTAAGCCGCAGGAACAGTCACAACAACAGTTTTGCCAAGATCTTTCCCCGTCAACAACACAGTGCCATTTATTTCCTACCAAAGCCTTTAAACACATCCTCTTGGACTATCATTTCCTGTGTGCAGCACTTCAAAGAGTGCTACTGGCATTTCCCCCTCCTCACAAAAGATACTACAAGTTGCTTTGGGTGGATTTTAAACAGGCTCACTAAAAAATTGCAAAGGCATAATGCTGGCTTTGTTTGCTTGACCTCAGATTGAAGTGCACTTTGAACAAACACTAAAGGTTCACTACAGTCTTTTACCTAAGATTATAGGTTTAATGTATTAGCAAGAAAAAGTAAGTTGCTTATAATACACGTGTAACGTTCAAGCAAATAAGTGAGCAAACAAACAGATGGGAGGGGAAAAACACCTGTCTAAATAGGATGCAATAATACAACACACATATACATTAATTTGACAGTTCATTTGCACACCCAGAATCAGCATGGAGAGATTAAGACAAGTGCCTCAGAATACGTACAAAGTGTTTTTATCACTCATGGCCATCATTCAGAAACGTGTGATTATCAGATGAAAGACTAAAACGCAAGCCTAGCAGACCTTTACTTTTGTTTTCAGATTGAAAGGTGAAAGAGGTAAATGATCCTCCTTGGGACCTCTGAGATACAATTCCACTATCCCTGGTCTTGATTGCTAAAACCATCACTGAATATCATCCATGAGATGTCAAGATTAGCAGCTATGGAAGTGATTAGATGAGCAACTCACATGTATATTTTCTTTTTGTCTACATTTATACTCAGACATCACCCTTAACGGAGTACACCAGAGTAATAATAATAATAATAATAATAATAATAATAATAATAATAATAATACTTTTATTTATATACCGCCCTATTTTTCCCTAGGGGACTCAAAGAGGTTTCCAAATATGCATAAATACAGCAGACATACAAAGCGAAACATAAAACATAACATAAACAATGAACATATATAATTAAAATCAATATAAAACCAGTTCTGCTCTCTTCTTTCGTGCAAGATAAGCTACTAAGGGCCAAAATTCCAAGAAAAGGCCTAAGCTATTGGGCAGGCTGGGCTGAAACTAGTGCAGAGAAAGGGAGACTTGGGGGGACAGACTGCTGCAATTGCAGAAGTCGGTCTCAACAATGGTCATAATGGGAGGCCAGGGGCCACTAATTTTGAGGGCCAATTTAAGGACTATTTAAAGGGTCTGGGCCAGAGGACAAGTGCTCTCAAATGGAAGGGGCTAGGGTAATGGCTGGAGTACAAGGCCAAGTCCTAACTGTTGGCCAAGGGCTTGGAACTTGAGACTAGTCAATTTTCGAAGGCTTGATGAAACCACCAAGTCTTCAAGTTCTTATGAAAAGAGGTAAGTGATGGAACCTGCCTTATCTCCTTGGGGAGGGCATTCCAGAAGCAGGGGGACACCACCGAGAAGGTCCTCTCCCTCGTCCCCCCAACCGGGCTTGAGACGGTGGTGGGAGTGAGATGAGGGCCTCCCCGGTAGATCTTAGAGTCTGCACCGATGCATAGAGGAAGATGCGATCGCAGGGATAGGCGGGGTCCAAACCGTACAAAGTCTTGCAAAAGTATTCAACTCCCCTTCCCACTTTTTTGTGTATCAATGGGAACTGGAACACATTTAAATAGAATAGTTGCCATTTATCTATACAAGATAATCAACATATGCATACTTTTTTTGTTGTGGTATAAATTTAAGTAAACAAGTAGCACAAGTTGGTTGCATAAGTATTCACATGCATGCACACGCCAAGTTAATATTTGTTAAAAACATATTATGTAACAATTACAGCTATGAGTTTTCTTAGGTAAGTCTCTACCAGCCATGCCCACCTGGAGCTGTGGGATTCACCCACTCTCCTTGGCAAAATTAATCCATCTGTCGGGTTGGATGGCAACCACTGGAAAATAGCTATTTCAAGTCTTGCCATGGATAATTGATTAGACCGAGATAAGGGTTTTTACTGGACTATCTTAAGCCAAAACGTGTTCAGAAGAGGATGACAAAAATGATCAAAGGTCTGGAGACCATACCCTATGAGGAGTAGCTTTAGTTTGCAGAAGAGAAGACTGAGAGGAGACATTATTGCCTTTTTAAAATATTTGAAAAAAATGTAAGGAAGAGGGGGCAGATTTTTTTTCTGCTGCCCTGGAGACTTGGAGCAATGCGTTCAAATTACAGTGATGGAGATTGCAGCTGAACATTAGGAAGAACTTCCTGACCATAAGAGCAGTTCAACAGGGGAACTCTCTGCATTGGAGTGTGGTGGAGGCTCCTTCTTTGAAGATTTTTAAACAGAGGCTAAATGGCCATCTGTCATGGGTGCTTTGATTGTGCTTTTCCTGCATTGCAGGAGGTTGGACTACATGGCTCATGTGGTATCTTCCAACTCTATGATTCTAGGTTCTTGTTTTTAAATGTGTCAGTATTACTTCAGTTGTTTGTTTAGGACCACAGTCTTGTTGAAAACTTAACATCTGCCCAGTCTCGAATCCCAAGTTTTCTTTTAGAAATGCCCCATGTATGTCTCTGTCCACCTTGCCCTCATTCCAAACAAGTTTCCCAGTCCCAACCAGGAAAAGCTTCCACTCAGTATGATACTGCTTGATGGCAGTATCATACTGAGTGGAAGCTTTTCCATACTTCCTTATGAGAATTATGTTCTCAGGGCAATGAGCATGACGTGCACCACATATAGTTTTTTGCTGTTTTTATTGTTAACTGCCATCAAGCGACTTCAATATGAGGCCCTCAAATCCCTCTATCATCAGGTCTTGCAAATTCAAGGCCAGACTTTCTTTGTTGAGTCTCAGGAATGTGGTATTCCTCTTTTCCCACTGCCTTCTACTTAGTGAGCATTATTGTCTCTTCTAGTGAGTCATGTCCATTCATGATGTGTCCAAAGTATGACAGTATTAGCCATCTTGCAAAATTCAGACAACATGGCAAAGGCATAGAGTTTGAAGAGAACGCTTTCAGATGTTTCCCAATGGGCAACGACAGGGTTAGTTTTAATAATGCTTTCTTCTCGTCACTCTTCCATACAGCCCAGCTTTGAGAAGATTCGAATTGCTCTATCTAGCTCAGTGGTTCTCAACCTGTGGGTCCCCAGATGTTTTGGCCTTCAACTCCCAGAAATCCTAATAGCTGGTAATCTGGCTGGGTTTTCTGGAAGTTGTAGGCCAAAACAGCTGGGGACCCACAGGTTGAGAACTACTGCTCTAGCTCCTTCAGAGTTTTGCAACTCTGACTAAAATGCCCTCCTTATTTGGTGAACAGCATTCTCTACCATTTTCTTGGCAGAGCCACATCTGAATCATTCTCTTTCCACGCAGTAATTCTGGATTTAATGGTGCTCATAATTTGGGATCTAAAAAAACTAAACTCTATTTGGTGCTTCTGCACAACTTTATTCTGAACTGATTTTATTTATTTATTTACTATACTTGTATACCGCCTTTCTCAGCCTTATCGACAATTCAAGGCAGTTTACAACAAGTCAGTACACATAACAACAAAATACAAATTGAACATTAAAACAGTATAAAACCACAACAGAAAAAATAAAAACAATAAACAATTTTGATAGCTTCTTGGTCTTCAGTACATTGAAACATTTATTTAAATTCTGGTATCTATGTAAAATATTCCAATTCTTATAATGGTGTTCCATGTCTTCATTTTGACACTAATAATACAGGTTGTCCCCCGTCCCCCCATGGATTGATAATGCACTGGGACCATGCTTCATTTTGACAGTGATTTAAATGCAATTATTTTAAACTTATAGAAAATGTTATAAATCGCTCTGTAAATTTAAATATGGCTTCTACTAAACTTGGGGGCTTTCCAGAAATGTATTTAACCTGAAATTACGTGATGCTGGAACTACACTAAATCAATTCAATTGTTAGGTGACTTCTGGTGGCAACTCATGGCATTATATAAAAACAAAACCAAACAAAACATCAGACTATTCAAGGAATGTTATGTGTAATGACATAAAATTACTTTTGATCCTCAAAACCACCAAAAATGAGAATCAGACTTCAACAGAACAACATCTGGGATTTTGCAGACTAAATTTTGATGTTATAGACTAGGTTTAGATAAACTTTGAATCACCAGGTGTTTTGGACTTTAACTGCCACAATTCCTAACAATCGGTAGGAATTGAAGTCCAAAACACCTGGAGGGCCGAAGTTTGCCCCGTGTGACTTCTGAAAATAATTTCCTTCACCCTTTTCTTCCTACTTCAAAACTTTATATCACTTGTTGTACAGAAATTAGTTACTTGAGTTAAATAATGTTCTTTAAAACAATTGTCATTATTGATTCATTCTTGAGACTATAACTGTATGTGCCTTTGCTAATAATCATCCTGTCCATGAACACAAACTGCATCACCATTAAACGACTTCGTTGTTCATAGACTTCAAAGCTGTTTCTGATGTTTGCTGACCCAAAGGCAAGATTTGTTCAGAGGGAGTTTGCCACTGTCTTTATCTGAGGCTGAGAGAACATGACTTGCCCAAGGTCACTTAGGGACTATTTACATGGGAGGGGGATCATACTCAGGCTGTAGCTAATTTGATCCTGACACACAATGCACAACCCCTTTAGTGGCAAAAATGCTTCTTTTTGGGGTTTTAACATGATTTACCAAAATTTACTCCTTGTTTGGTGGTTTCTAGGAAAATCTGATCTGTTTCTGTGTGCACAATCTATATTGGGATGTTTTCAGGGAGAGGCAAGGGCAGTTGTCAGGGTGGCAAACATTTACTAGGTTGTATGCTTTGCAACACTGCATATCCCTTTAATTTTTGTGAATACCACTATCCCTGCTCAGACTGGGAGAGGGGGTTGTTCACTCAAAAGTAAGCAAGAAGAGGA